AATGGAAGTGTTGAATCAATCGGTAGTGAGGAAAATTGGAGGAAATTTGTTGACAGTTGCGACAGTTTCAGCAGCTTAAGGTTCTGCTGGAGGTCTGATTACTTTATGGAATGAGAAAGAGTGTCAGGTTCTAGAGGAGATAATTCATAGGAGATTTGTGGCAGTTAAGGGTATTATTGATGAGATACTAGGGTCTTGATGGTTCATAAATGTGTATGGTCCGAGTGTGGATTCAGAAAATGAGGCGTTCTTTTGGGAGTTGCTTTTATTTTTGGAGAATGTAGACTGTCTAGTCTGTCTCGGAGGGGACTTCAACGTTGTTATGTCACAAGATGAGAAGATTGGAGGTGCAGTAAATTTAGCTTCTATGTTTGCTTTCAGAGAATTTGTGAGCAAAGCTAATCTAGTGGATTTGCCTATGGTTGGAGGTCGATTTATATGGTGTAATAATAAAGAAATACCAACTTATGAGAGACTAGATCGATTCCTAGTGGATCAAAGTTTTTTATCATTGTTCCCCATGATAACATAAAAACTCATAAAAAGGTATGTTTCAGATCATAACAGCATCTTGATGGAAAATAGGGGATGAAATTGGGGCCTGAAACCGTTCAAATTATTTAATTATGTCATGGAAGAGGATGGGTTTTTTAAGATGATGGAGGGAGAGCTGTACAAGCTTTGTAGAGTGAAGAATATACAACTAATTTCTAGCGTGCTAATAGGAGTGCAGGAAGCAGTGAAGAGGTGGTCTAGGAAGGGGTATTTAGAGATCTCCGGGAGAATAAATAGGTTGGAGAAAGAAATTCATGAGAAGGAACTTCATTTGCAATAAGATCTCCCCATGGTGTCTATGAAGAACTTAGTGGAAGCAAAGAAAGAGCTGTGGGACTTGTATAAAAAAGAGGAATTGATTTGGCTTCAAAAGTCAAGATTGAAATGGAGTTTGGAGGGGGATAAGAACACCTGATTTTTCCACCAATGTGCAAGAGGTAGAGAAATGGTATTAAATCCATCAAAGTAGATAATGAAGACATTTCAGATCTAAAATTAATTAAAGCTTCAGTGGTGCATTTTTTCAAGGGGTTGTTTAATCAGGAAAATACATTGGAAGTTGAGGAGTTGGACCTGGAATTTTTGCAACTCTTGGAACAGCAGAGTATGGCCCTTGAGAAGCCTTTTTCTGAAGAGGAAATTTAGGGTGTAATTGCTAATTCTGATGGTAACAAAGCACATGGACCGGATGGACTGAATTTAGGTTTTTTCAAGAAGTTCTGGTCAAGCTTGAAGGAAATTCTGCTGCTGCTTTTAAGGAATTTTATGAGGGTAAGGACTGGGATTTGGAAACCAACCACTCTTTCATCTCTCTTATTCCTAAAAAGGCAAATCCGGAGGGGTTAGAAGATTTTAGGCCAATTAGCCTAGTTGGGGGTTTCTACAAAATGCTTTCAAAAGTACTAGCGAGAAGGTTAAGCTTGTGTATTAATGAAGTTATTAGTCCATCACAATTTTTATTTATACCGAGGAAACACATTTTGTATTGCTCGTTTATAGCAAATGAAGGCATTGATTGTTGGAGGAAAAAAAGATTAAAGGGAGTTGTTTTTAAGGTGGATTTCAATAGAGCCTATGATTCGGTTGATTGGAGGATCTTGTTGAAAATAATGAGTAAAATGGGGTTTGGAGCTAGATGGAGTTCTTGGATGTACAAGTGTATCTCAACAGCTTCCATTTTGGTTTTGGTAAATGGCACACCTACAGAGAGAATACACACTACTGGAGGATTAAGACAGGGTTGTTTGTTATCCCTTATGTTATTCAATTTGGGAGGTGAATTATTACATCTAATGTTGGTGAAAGCAGTAGACAAAGGGTTGTTTTCGAGTTTTAAATTAGGCTCGAAGGATCGTTCTTTCATGTTATCACATTTGCAATTTGTGGATGACTTAATAATTTTTAGCAAGGCTTTTACTCATGATTTGGTGAATATTAGAAGGGTGCTTTTAATTTATGAATTGTTAGTGGGGCTGAAGTTGAATATGAATAAGAGCAGAATTTTTGGAATCAATGTGGGGGAGGAGGAGTTAGCTTCTTGGGCCAAGGAAATAGGGTGTGAAAGAGGAGCTTTTCCATCGAAGTACTTAGGTTTATCGTTAGGGGCTAAGAGGAATTCTTTTTCATTGTGGGAACCGGTTGTACAAAAATTTTATAATAGTTTGGCTGGTTGGAAGGCCAAGTCTCTGTCATGAAGGGCAGTTTTGGTCAAATCAGTGTTGTGCACTCTTCCAATTTATTACCTTTCTATTTTTCGAATCCCTATTAGTGTTCTCAACAAATTAAATTCTATCATGGCATCTTTTCTATGGGTGGATCGATAGGAAAAAAGAACATTCATTGGGTCAAATGGGAATTGGTGTAAGCCAAAGAATTTAGGGGTTTGGGGATTCTGAACATGTTGCTTTTAAACATGGCTCTTATGGGGAAATAGGTGTGGAAATTTGCTGCAGAAAAAACCTCTTGGTGGAAAATAGTGGTCTGTTGTGTAAACAATATGGATCCAAATTCAATGATGATTCGGAATACTTAGACATCACGTACTTCTTGGATTTGGAGAGGAGTTGTTAAGAACTTCTTTTCAAGTGATGCATTTGGGGATTGTTTTAGGAAAAATTTGTGTTAGAGCTGGAAATGGAGAAATAGTACAGTTTTGGCATGATGTATGGGTGGGTTCGGTTCCTCTGAAAGATAGGTTTCTAAGGTTATTTACTCAATCAAAAAACAAAGGGGGAAAGGTTACAGAATTCAGATTGTATAATGATTCGGGTGGGGTCTGGGATATTCAAACAATAAGGAATTTGGTGGATTGGGAGGTTGAGCAGTGGCTGCAACTTATCTCTCTCTTGAACAGTTCTTCATTGTCATTAGTAGAGGATGATTGTTGGATTTGGTTGGGAACTGGTGAGGGTTGTTTTACAGCAAAATCATGCATGCAATTGTATTTTGATAGACAGGGTAATGATGAAGTAGAAGGTAATTAGGAAAGATATGTTTCGAAGGGGGTAGCTCCACCACGAGTAGAAACCTTTGTTTGACAACTTGCCCATCATAGAGTAGCAGTGAAGGAGGAGCTGCTGAAGAGAGGAGTTTCTGGGGTGGAAGACACTGTGTGCTCTTTGTGTAGGAAGTGCAATGAGTCGGTCTCACATTTGTTTCTGCACTGTGATGTGGTGTGGGATTTGTGGGCTAAGTTTTTAAAGTACTGGAATGTTTTCTTTGTGGTTCCGACTAAGTTGATGTAATTCTTAATTGCGTGGGATGAACTTGTTCCGAGATCTATCATATGGAAGTTTATCCCTAGGGTTGTGTTGTGGTCGGTTTGGAAATGTAGGAATGAGGTGATTTTTCAGCAAGAGAAGGTTGATTCTGCGCTATTGTTCTTCATTACAAGATTCAGAATTGTTTCTTGGTTTGGAACTTCATTTAAGGACGTCCATGTTCCTTTTGATTCCTTGATGGGGGATTTAAAACTAGCAGACTTGAATGGTAATCTAAAAAATAGGTCTCATCCTTCTTATAGGTGGAGTCCTCCTCCAGAAGGGTTCTTAAAAGTAAATGTAGATGGTGCAATGGTCAAAGGATGGGATAAGGGTGGAATAGGTGGATTGATTAGGGATGGTAGTGGTTCGGTGCTTGGGTCATTTTCAGAGAAGGTAGGGAGAGGCCCTCCTTTACTCGCAGAGCTTTTGGCGATTAAAAGAGGGTTGAATCTTATTGAGGAAGTTGGTTACAGTCCAAGTCAGAGGATTATTTTGGAATTGGATTCTACTAATGCTCTAAATTGGATTAAAAATCCGGACCTTAGTACTTCTTTGTTCAAATCCTTAGTGAAGGATATAGCTACTCGTGTGGAAAGGAAGGGTATTATCACAAGGCATATTTCGAGAGCTGCAAATTGGGAAGCGGATGAATTAGCAAAAGCTGGTATAGGTTGCTTTTTGGGTTTCTGTTGTGGTTAAAGGTGTTATACCTTGGTTGTTCTTTTTTAAGGGAGTTACGAGGGTGCGTTATGTATCCAGAGTTATGGATTAAAGGTTATGTTGTTAGTAGTTAGTCATGAAGGCGTGGAGGTGTATTATTGTTCTCATTAATAAAAGTTAGAGGCACTCTTTTTCTCATTCCTATGTCCTTCATGTTATGTTTATAACATGTAGGATATGAAGGGGTTTTAATGAGGCCTTATTTTATCAAAAAAAATTCAATATTGATGGGGCAATCAGAGGTGATGGGCGGGTGGGTGGAATTGGGGGCATTTTAAGAGATTCGAATAGTAATACTTTAAGGTCCTTTTCGAATGGTGTTGGTCCTGGTCCTATGGCTGAGTTGAAAGCCATTGAGAAAGGCATTGATTTCTTTCTCTCATCTTCTTGGGCTACGAAGGGAAGATTGATAATAGAGAGTGATTATAAATCAGCAGTGAATTGGATTTTGTTGCCGACTTTAGCTCCTCCTTTTTTTAGTTCAATGGTTGGGAAAATAGTGTCCCTAGTTTCTGCTAGGGAGATTATTGTTAGACACATTCCTAGGAGTTGTAATTGTGAGGCTGATACTTTGGCTAAACAGGGGATTGGCTGAATTTTTTTCCGTTTTTTAAGACGTTTTTAGTAGGTTTTTGTTGGTCTACTGTGGTTTTCAGGGTGAGCTAGTGTTGATGTTGTTAAGGAGATTAGGTTGACGTGTGTTTTATTTGTTTTTGTTCAGAGTGTTTCCAGGGTGTATCTTATGTAATATGCTTTTGTTCAATAAAATCCTAAGGCACTATTTTCCTCATTTCGTTGACTAAGGAGCTTTCCTACAAGCTCCATTAATCAAGAAGGGGTTTTTAATGAGCCTAAAATTCTTATAAAAAAATATTCTTAAGAAACTAACTAAAAAGGAACAACTTGATGAAATAACTTCTTTTTACCAGAATTACATAACCAGACTAGTTTCTCCAAAACCAGGAGCTACTTCAGCAGACATCATAAAGTAATACCTTAAAGAAATACCATACTAACCTGTGGAAGATCTTTTCGCATCATTTCAGAAAAGAGTTGTCCATTTTCACCCTCATTAACATAGTCTAGCTCCTCAAAAAATCGTGCAGCCCATTCGTCAACCAATCCAACCACGTCTATAGAGATCTGGAATGAATAAGGGAAGCAAGTGAGCCAAGAACGGAGAATTATCAATAGTACACCTACAGAATATAGAAGCGTCTTTATAAGAAGAAAAGTGTTTTGCAAAAAGCTAAGCTTTAACATATACATTATATACCTGAGGAAACTTTCGGAGTGCCAAACCCAAGTTTCTTATGATGAACAAGTCAACAGTCACTGTCTCAAGAACAAAAGGCCTCTGCACTTTGACAGCCACAAGATCTCCATTCTCTTTCAAGCGTCCTTTATACACTTGTCCCAGAGATGCTGCCAAAGGTATCCCACAACATTTTAAAATATTTATAGTTGGAATAGCAGGTAAAAACTAATAAAATTATCTACATTATGTAATATCAATACATGTGTGTGTGTATGCACACAACATATTCAAGCTTAGATTACCAGCAGCTATTGGCGAAGAGGAAAGTTCAGAGTAGATTTCTTGCCATGGCTGACCAAGTTCCTATTCAAGAAGAGCCATTGCTATGTCATCAGGAAATGAAGGAACCTTCACATATGTGGAAAGAAAAGTCAGCTATAAACATATACTTGCAATACCACCCCTAAAGAAGTAAAAAAAATATACTAATGCTACCTAATAAAATCCACATTGCAGAATGTTTTCAGCAATTTTGGAGGAAAAAAAACCTTTCAAATTAAAATCCCCATCATGTGATATTAAGAGTTATTTTCCCTAAAAAGCTGAAGTGATTTATTCATAAAAGAATTAAAAGTTGCAGAAGCCAATCAAGAGGGCTCTGTTTCCATCCAAACCAATTTCCCCAAAACCTATTGGTTTGCAAAATGATCTGGTATTAAAACCAATAAATAAATTGCATGACACGTTTGAAGTCTATCAAAAAGGATTGACAGTTTGGGCGCAACAAGTCATGCCATCCACTGGAGGTATTTCTGAGGTTGAAGACTATAGAGGAGCTCACCCCAATTATAAGACAAAAATTTCTACAGGCATCAGAACTAATTGGTGGTCATGTTCTCAAGTTATTTGTCTCTTGTTATAATGGTTCTAAATGTTAGAATTAAATTTCTTCACTCCTGATAAGTTACTTCTTTTGGAAAACTTTTGAGGCATAGAAAGAAGAAAAAAAAAACGATTCAGAATAATAACTTTAAACGGAAAGAATGAAGAAATGCCAATGTGATAATTCTACCTTATCACAAAGCTTTTGCAGCTCAGTCATTGCAACAGGAGAAAGGATATCTGGTCGAATGCTTAATGCTTGCCCAAGCTTTATATACGCAGGGCCCAATGAGGTAACGATTTCCCTTAATTCAATAGCTCTAGACACTTCATTCTGTTAATAAAACAGACAAATTTGAACAAGAAAAATTACGAGGGAGTTTAGATCCTAACACAAAAAGAAAAGGAAGCCCAACAACTTTAATGAAAGAACATGAAGGAGAAAGAGAATCATTTATAAAAATTATGGCACTTAGGATTTTCAGAAATTAGAAGCTAACGCAAAAAAGTAGGTGACAGAGCATCACGTATTCACCTCTTTGACCTTCTTGTTTATAACATCCATAGCCAAACGTGAGAGGAAACCCCCAGCAACAGATAGTAACTGTATAATACGAGTAGCAACAGCACGAGGCCGTTTCCCCCAGTATGCAGAGATGCTAGCCGGATCATATACCAATGGTAAGAACTCACCGCTATCATCAACCCATGTAAGCAGAATATTATTTATATATGACCGGCCAAAAATATAGCACAACAAAGAAATGGCACAGAATCTAGAAACAGAAATCCCAACAAATGATTTCCGCCAAAACATCGTTATATTTATACCTGCTCTAATTCATTAAACTTTCCAAAAGCTTTCAAAATATTCCACTTTTCAAAAGTGAAATGAGTTGTCCTATGTGTTGAACTTTTCAACTTGTTATAAAAATACTTTTCTATAAACGTGTTTAGCTTATAAAATATTGATTAGAATATTATATTTTATTTTAAAAAATAAATATTTATATACGTGTTTAGCAGATAAATTACCCCGTTCATGGATTTTTTAGATGACGAGGACTTGGAGGAGTCATTGATATTGTTGATTGAAGGAGGAGAGGGCTGAGACGGCGCATTACGAGTGGGCTTAGTTTCGGTTGCTACGGATCGAACCGGTCTGGTTCGTGTACGAATAGACACTCTGTTAGAGCGCCGGGAAGAGAAACGGACCGGATAGATACCGCAGTAGACGAACCGAGGCGACGCTGCTACGTAGAGGTGTTTTTTTTGAAAATCACCGGTGATCGGTATATTTACCGATCTAATACCGGTCAGATTATATTTCCCGATCTAATACCCGTAGCAGTAAAGCGCGCTCCCTGTCCCGCGCTATATGTTGATTTGGCGCCACGTGGGGTATAGCGCACCTTCTGTACCACGCTATATGCTGACATGGCTTACACGTGGATATAGCGCGCCCCCTGATCCGCGCTATACGCCACGTAGGGGTATAGTGTTGCCCCTGTTCAATGCTATACCTGGGTATGAATTATATTTAGCACGGACCCGCGCTATATCTTTTATCTGAATAATTACATATAGCGCAGTGCAGGTACCGCACCTTATATTGTTATAAATACCCTTCCCTCCCGTTTAAGTTTTTCACATCTCCTCACATCTCTCCTCTCAACTTATATATTAATACAATAATTCCGTCAATGAGTAATAATTCTGGTAATTTTCTCATATTTGATTTAGAAGTTCGTGCGATTTTTTCGTTATAAATTTTGTTATAATTTTTTTTATTATACTTATTGTTTATTATGATTCTTTGAAAAAAATATTATACTAATTATTTTCAATTAATTTTTGTGTTTGTAAAATAAAAAAAAGGAGCATACGTCAAAATAGTTTTGCGGTACAAGTAATAATATAAAATTATATTATTTAAATTATTTACGTTGATGTGTAAAAAAATTATTGTGTTATATTTTCGTTTATATATAATTTATTTAATCAGGTTTGTTTTAGTTATTTTTTTTTGCAGATATAATATTGCCGCACTTTTAAACTCAAAGAATGGCGCGACTTTCAGCTATTGTTTATTATGATGGTGAAATTCGAGAAGATGAAACCGTCGTTGTTTTCGTATCAAATGAGCGTGTTAAAATATCATTCAAGAGAAACATAACTCTTGAGGAGCTGATAACGAAGGTTTCGAGGAAGATTCATGTTGGAAGTAGTAGAAAAATGTCGTCGTTGCAGTACAGATTTCCAACATCATTGTTGCCATTAACTTATACAGCGTTCGAACTTTCGAACAATGATGATGTTCAAATGATGGTTGAAGCTCAAAGTAATTATCCAGACACCGCTATTGAGATGTATGCACATTTTGTTCAAGTGCGTGTTGTCTGGGGTCAATCATTAGGCTCCCACTATGGGCTAGCTGAACAAGTTGATCAAGTTGACAGCCCGACTACAGTAATGTGTAATGATTTTAATGCCATAATGGGGAGACATTCATCCGCAACTCCTTACGATATGTACCGAGGTGGGTCCACGAACAATCCGTATGGCAACACCGCGTCCAGTTCAAGGGGAAGGTATTCATCTGCAAATTTCTTTGACCATATGGAGATGCCATCGACGCAACCATCTGTGCAGTTTCCATTTGACACGATGACTTCAAGCTCCAGGGGGAGGCATTCGACTGCGAGCTTTTTCGATCTCAATGTCGATATGCCTTCTAGTTCAAGGGGAAGGCGTGCAAGTAGTAGGTTCTTCGACCTAAATGTGGAGAGCATGGAGGAACCATCATCTCCACTAGAAGAACCACTTCGTGAGCCTGGTGCGGATGGTGTTGAGACTGGACTATTCATTCACCCAGAATCACCGCAATTCAACTCTGATGATGATGAAGTTCCAGGAAATGTGGCACAAACTGACCCTCCTGCACACATGAATGAAGCTGATTATGGTGCAATGTACGGGCCAGAACTTGTGGATATGCCTCATCTCGGTGACTATGGATATTACTCATCAATAAATAATGGTGAGTTATATTTAAGCATGGAGTTTTCAAGCAAAGAAGAAGCGGTGATGGCTATAAAAAATTACAATATACGTAATTCTGTTCAGTCCAGAGTCAATCGATCGGCGACTGAAAAATATGTATGATATTGTGCCCGACGCGAAAACGGATTCAATTGGATGGTTCGCGTATCGAAAATGAAGAGGAAAAACAACATATGAGAACTAATAGTATACAACGGTCATCACACATGTTGTGCTCGAGGGGTCAACCAAGATCATCCCAACTTGGACTCTGAAATGATATGTCAAGCCATCATGCCCATGGTAAAAACAAGCTCTCATATAGCTGTTGCAGTGTTGATTTCAGCTATACAATCGCAGTATGGGTACACTGTCTCCTATAAAAAAGCTTGGTTGGCAAAACAAAATGCCATTGTCAAACTTCATGGCGAATAAGATGCATCTTACAACGAACTTCCAGGTTGGTTCAGGCTGGTGCGGACATTGAATACTGAGATAATTGTGGACTTCGAAACCTCCTATGCATACCATAATGATCGAGTTCTTCGCGATCGAAGCCAATTCTTCCGGGTTTTTTGGAGTTACCCACAGTGCATTAATGCTGCCAAATACTGCAAGCCTGTGGTCCAGATCGACGGGACTTTCTTGTATGGAAAATACAAGCAAGTTTTATTATTGGCAGTTGTCCAAGATGGCAATCGAAACATTCTTCCAGTTGCTTTTGCTCTTGTCGAAGGAGAAAATACAGATTCTTTGGCTTTTTTCCTCTGAAATTTACGTGCACATGTTATCACGAGGGAAAACATCTGTGTCATTTCAGATCGTGGAGCTGGGATCAAAGCAACAATAGAGTCTTTGGGTCCAATGTGGCAACCACCCTTTGTCCAACATAGGTATTGTCTCTGACACATTGATGCGAACTATCATGGAAGGTACAAGAAGAATGATGAGCGTCAATTAATTGTGCGCATAGGTAACTGAAACTGATGTAGTTTGTTTTCTTTCAATCGTTTTAATTTTGCAAAGAAAGCAAGTTAGTAAGTTATACATTTTTTGATCAGGTTACGAACTACTTCCTCGAACGTTTGAATCAATGCTTCAAGATTTGCGGGCGAAGAACGAGGAAGAATACGATTACATCAACCTCATCTATAAAAAAATATGGATGAACGCATATGATGGTGAATATCGATATGAACACATGACGACCAACTTGGCTGAGGCAATCAATTCAACCTTAAAGGGTGCACGTCACTTACCTGTAGCGGCTGTGGTAAAAACTACATATTTTTGTTTGGGGGCGCTTTTTGCGAAGCTCGGGGGACAAACTCAAACCTAGATACAAGGCGATCATGTCTATCACCCTAGATTAGTTGCAGATCTACAGAAAAAAAAAATTGATGCATCAAATGGAATGTCTGTAACAAGCTTCTCTAGAAGGCATGAAATGTTTCGTGTCACAGAGTTGCCGCGACCTCTTCAAGGGATTGAAGCTGTGTCGTTAAGAGTAAATCTAAGGGACAAAACGTGCGACTGCGAGTTTTTTCAAGCTCTGAAGTATCCATTCTCTCATGTGATAGCAGCTTGCTCGCATACACGTCAATACTATAACCATTTTGTGGATCCCGTATACCTACTATATGAAGTTTTTAAGGTATACGAATTTGAGTTTCCCCCCATATGTAATGACAAAGACCCTGATGAGGTTCAAGATTGGCTTCCGATTGTACCAAATCTGAGTTTATTGAGGGAGCGTGGTCGTCCAAAATCCAATCGAATTCATTGTGATATGAATATTCGAGAAAGATCTAGAAAAGACAGAAGATGTGGGCATTGTAGAAACCCAGAACACACTAGAAAAACATGTCCACTTCTGTTGTCATCAAGTAACAATTGATGAGGAAATGATGTATTTGTTTATCAAATAATAATTCTTGTACTTTAATTTGCATTTACTTCAAGTTAATGACATTCGATAATCGCTAATGAAGATTAAAAAAACGAACACAATCATTAAATTTTATCAAACTAATAACAATTTGGTATTTGAATATAATTTTAAATACAACAAACTTACAATAAGAATTAAATGGTAAATGATAACCAAATTACAATAACTGATATTAAATGGTAACAAACAAAATTAACTGAAATACATTAAAAAAAGTCCAACAAAAATAACAAAATAAAGTAAGTATTAAATGAGAAATAATAAAAAATTACAATTTAACAAAATAAAGTAAATACAAATATATAAAAAATCTATTGATGCCTGCGACGCGAATGTGTTCCACAGGGCGGTGGCTGTCGGTCTCGAGGAGGATTTCTTCGTATCACTGGTTCTGACTCCTCGTTGTCATCATCATCACCATCACCATCGTCGTCGTCCTGAGCAGGTACATTAGGTTAATGAGGAGGTGATGACGATGAAGCACCTCCATAGAATAAGGACCCTGGAGGTGTATGACTGACTATCCCATCGGCCTGCGAAAATTGGGAAAACTCATAAAACCCAGACATCGCTGAGTGTGAAAACTGTACAGGAGGTGTCTGTGCTGCGACCATGGGTGATGAGGCTGAACCCGCCAGATATCCAGTATATGAACCCCAAGTCAGATCTACAAACATAGACCCATAATAGCTTC